GAAAAAGAAAACAATAGCTGAACCAGTTCCATAGGGGGTGAAAATTAAAAACATCACTCCTTTTCAATTTATTTCATATAATTTCTCATTCCACTTTGTGCATTTTATGCTAATTTTTCAAGAATAATATGTACAATTGACTCTGAAAAAAAGCTCTGCAGAAGAATTGCAATGGGGGCCAGGCAAATTTTAGGACCTTTGGTAAGTCATTTTCCCTGAGCTGACCTTTGTTTTGGTTTTGTTTTGGATAACAATGCTCAGATCTTTATAGGGGTAATGTGATCTCATATGGGAAGGCAAATGTGATAAAATTGTACACAGGTAATATACAGATGCACACACAAATAAGTTTCTATAAAATGGTAACATTTGAACAAAGTTGGTAGACTATATCAGTGTCTATTTTCTGTTTGGAATACTATACTGTATTTACACAAGATAATACCATTGGGGGGAAATGAGCATAAGAATAAAAGAGATCTCTATTATTTCTTACAATGACATGCAAATCTACAGTAATCTAAAAGGGTTTTTAAAAATGTATGTTCTTCTTAGGCAGGAAATGAGTAAAGTTCACTTGATTGAATCCTTTCTATGTTCCAATCATTGTGCTTGTGAATTTCTATTAATTATCTCTAGGATAAAAATACTACTTGGCTTATTTTAAAAGATCCCAATTATTTTGGATGACCTGGCATCAGATCAAGTTTAATATTTTGCATTTTTGAGACAATGTCTCCCTGTTTGTCTAGGCTAGCCTTGAACTCACACTCCTGCTGCCTTTGCATCCCAAGAGCTGAGCTTGCAGGTCTGCATTACCTGGCCAAAATTTTAAATTTTCAAACAATGTGTTGTTATTACTACTATTTATGTTAACACAAACCAGAATGGGTTTAGTACACCTTATATTATTTTTCTAGTGTGGCTGTAACAAATAACCACAAACCTAATTTCTTAGAATGGCACAAATTAATTATTCAACAGTTGTAGGAATTAAAAGTTCAAAATCAGTTTTCCTGGGCTGAAATTAAGGTGTTGGCAGGATATTGCTCCTTTTGGGGAGTGTAGGAGAAAATCTTTTTTATTTCCTTTCCCAGCTTCTAAAGCAGCATTCCTCGGCTCATGGCCCTTTTCCTCCATCTTCAAAGCTAGCAGTATAGCATCATTCTTTATTCCTCATATTGCCTTCTTTTTCTGTAGTAACATCTCTCTCTGCCTCTCTTTTATAAGGACTCTTGTTATTACATTTAGTTCCTACCTAGATAATCCAAGAAAATCTCCCCCCTCAAAATCCTTAACTCAATCACATTTGCGAAGTCTTCTTCTTCCAGATGTGATAAATTTTATGGGATCCAGTGATTAGGACATGGATATCCTTGAGGCTATCATTTTTCAGTCCACTTTTTACTTCAATTTTTGCCATGGTTTTGTCTGGCAACGTATGAGGTGCATTTGAGGTGACTAGTTCTCCCTTTAGTACTTAGTTATACTTATAAAATGAGCAATGATAACCAATGTCTTTTCTTCTTACTCTTTGCTTATTCAACACAACTAGCATATTCCTTTCATAGACAATATGAAGAGTTTTCATTGTTAAAATGAAGTAGACTACACAAGAACAGCAACAGAACTGTCTCCTTTTTGTTTTGGCTGGTGGTAGGAAAGGTTTTTGACAATAATATTTCTGCTGCTATTTGTGATTAGCTAGATGAGCCATGTCTCATGTCATGAACATCCAAAATGCATGAAAGTGTCAGGCCAACAAACAAGATCAGAATCAAAGTATAGGTTAAGTGTAGCTGAAATGTGTGCATAGGGAATAATAGTGATGTCATTGACTGCCTCATGAAACTAGAAATCTATAAAGCTGATGAAGGACCATTAACACCTACTTTGCAAGGTAGTAATTACGAAGAATGTGTCTTTTTTTTTTTTACAAATTAATTGTAAAAGTTGTTTTGACTTTTCATTCTGTGACTAGAACTTCTAATTCAGATTAAATATTTCTTCTAATTTAATTATAGTAATTTTGAACTCCAAGTTTTTGAGGGCCTGTTTGAAAATAGGAGTGAATGCTTTTAATATGTGACTCCATTAGAAAAGACTATAGCAGTTGGATTTGGGAGTGTGTGCCTGTAATCCTAGATATTCAGGAAGCACAGGAAGGAGTTGCAGTCCAAGGCCAGCCTGAGCAAAAAAGGTGAGAACATATCTAAAAAATAACTAAAGCAAAGAGGGCTGGAAGCATGCCTAGCAAGCACTAAGCCCTGAGTTCAAACTCCAGTACCATACAACCAGAAGAATTCAGCAAATAATTATTCATGACAGCTTAACTTCATCATCAATAGATGACTTAAAAGTACAATAAGTAAGAAAATATGTAGTAAGTTAAGTTCAGCAGGAATTTGATATTTTCATCAAAATACTATAATAATAATAATAATTTTATGTATGAGAGTTCATACTGATGGAAGAAAACATCCAGCCTTGTAATGAATAGCACTGTAAATTCAGTTAAAAGATTCAACATCATGAAAAATTATTTGTTATGGGATGATAATGTGCATAAACATTTTGGTGAAGCAGAGCATTGTAAGAAGATCGATGTTTTACTAAATTAAGAAACATGTAAAAGAAATATGATTAGAGTTGGTTGTGCTGCACACATAATTCATAGTTGTGTGAATAAGGCATGGTATTTTGTAAATTAAGATAGAAACAAGGGTTGCATATATTTACACACACACTTATATACACATATACATACACAAATATATGCACACATTAATACTTCCACACATATATATGTAGGTTTTTATGTATATATGCATAGATTTGTATATATATATTTATCTCTATATATATTATATAAAACTGCAGAGTTCTATATAATATATAGAACATATATGTACATATATGTACATATATACCCATAAATCTATATATGAATCGTAGTACTCTGTAGAAACTACATTTGGTTGTTTTTTCTAGCTTTTGGGTTGAGTGGTGGTTTTACAGATGTTAAAGAAAAAGAGAGACAAGAGATAAGAAGGGGAGTAGGGAAAGAAAGAAAAAGATGGACAAGCAGGGGACAATGATAATGATGTCTTGTGAACCAAAGATAATGATGAAGCTGCATCTGACAATATTCACACGTCTTACTGCTTTCTATGTTAGTTGCCTCAGATATTGTTCCTCAATGAAAACAGGTCAAATGTTGGAGGGTAATTTGCAAGTGTGGAGAGAATCCAAAACAGATGACGAGAAGGAAGTTGGTGAAATCAGATTGGGATACATAGACTCTGAGGACCCGAAAGATCACCAGGCAGTGATGTTCCACAGGTAGTTGGCAACGGAGACTTGAGATTGGGGGAGGGAAGAGCCTGGAGATGCAGACTGGGGACTCAAAGAAAGAAACAAATGAGATTATCCTGGGAAGAAAATGTGTGAAGTGAGGAGAGGGGAGGCTGAGGACAGAACCTTTGGGTTCTGTGTCGGCTCAGCTTCCTGACAAGTACCATCGCCAGGTCATGTAATCAGGCAGAGCTGGCTTTGAAAGTAGTTGTAGGATTAAGGACCTGAGTGGTCTTGGCAAAGTCGGGTACCCTCTCTGATCAAATATCACACCTGGTGAGAATGGGCATGTAAAATGGATTCTCTCAGAAGATGCTGTGAGATGCGTCGGGTACAACGCTTGATGTCAAAAAACCTTCTTCCTTCCCTTCCTCCTCTTTTTGGTAATACACACCCCTCCATCCGCAGCTACTTGGTCTCTCAGGATTCTAAGCTTTGAGGTGGGGCGGGGCAAGATCGCGTGATGCGGCGCTCACATGACCCCCTGGTGGCCAACCTAGGAACCAGCCTCTGCCGTCACCCGCTTTCCCACCCTGCAGTGGGATCCCTTTGCCTCTCCGTGCATAATCAGCTTTCAGAGCTGCCCTGAGCTGCGGGCGAGCGGCGAGCGGCGAGCGGGCTTCTGCGAGCCCGAGGAGGCGCAGCCTGTCACGGGTCCCCTCAGGTCAGTGTGAAGACGGGCGCTGCTAGCGGACTGGCCAGGGGTGGAGATGGATGGCAGCTGGCTCCAGGAGCTGCTGGGAGGGGAAGGGATCAGGGAGATTGGTGAGGAGGGGGACACGGAGCGGGCGGGGGGAGAGGGGGAGGTAAGGAGGACCCCGCTGTGGCTCCGCTGCATTGTCTAGCCCCCCATCCCTCCATCCATTTTAGAGCAGGCGGTGGGGGGGGAGGGTGTGCCGGTGGGCGTCCCGCTGTGCGACGGTGAAATACACGCATTCTCAAAATAAACACCCTTCTCAGTGGAGCCTGTGAAGACAAATTGACCTGGACCAAAAAGGTGTGGAAGAGGGGCATGTTGCCCCTTTGAGGGAGGGGAACACACAGACTCAAACATAGTTTGGAAAGCACCCAGGTTTGGTTTCCAAAGCCTGAAAAGAAATGGAAGTTGTTGGGGGGGAATGCAGAGGAAAATGCTTGGTGACCAGGTCCAGGATTCAGGAGAGGGACCAAGTCCCTGCAAGTGCACTGAGCATGCAGTCCCTGCCTCTGTGTTCTGTCTGCAGGTCTGTGCATCTGTGGTTCCCAGTGCTCTGTGAGGCCTGACGAAAAGCAACCTGCCCAGAGTCCCTGCAGGTCAGTGGAAGGGAGCAGCATGTACCAGGAGTGACAATGCAGAGGGCAGGGCCAGGGCAGGATTTGGGCCCCACTCCTGCATGTAATGCACACACACTTTGCCCCTCTGAAGGAGCACAGAGAGGTAGCAGGGCCTGCCAGGAACAGGTGGTGCTCCTGTGAGAGGACAATGTGGGTAAAGGACAGGCAGAAGGTGCACTGGGAGGGTTGGGCCAACTTAAAGGGTTGGGTCAATTTACAGGACCCCTCACAAAGACAAGATGCAAACACTAAATGAACCTGGTTCCACCCTGTGCTCTCAATCTCTGGTGTTTCCTTTTTGTCTCCACCTCTACTCCTAGAACAGGAAAAGGAGGAGAAATCTCAACATGGAAGAACTCTACAGTGAAAATGAAGGGATAACTTTGAACCAAGTAAAGATGGAAAATGAAGAAAAGTCACAGGATGAGGGAAAGCCGGAAGTAGCTTGCACTCTGGAAGACAAAGAAACATTAGAAAATAAGGGAAAGGTAGAAGAGGAGGAACTGTCAAAGGATAAGGAAAGGTCAGAGATTGGCAGAAAAGCAAAAGAGGAAGGAATCCCAGAGAGAGGGGAAAAGCCAAAAGTCAAAGGAAAGCCACAGGGGGAGGGAAAGCCAGAAAGTGAGGAAAAACCACAGTGTTCTGGAAAGCCAGAGTGTGAAATAAGGGCTGCCATAAAACGCCCTGCTGAGGGTGACATACCCAAGAAAGCCAAAAGAAAAACCAACAAGGGGCTGGCTCAGTACCTTAAGGACTATAAAGAGGCTATACATGATATGAATCTCAGCAATGAGGATATGATAAGAGAATTTGACAATATGGCTAAGGTAAAGGATGACAGGAGAAAAATCAAGCAGAAATTGGGGGGATTATTTTGGATGCAAAGAAATTTACAGGACCCCTTCTACCCAAGGGGCCCACGGGAATTCAGGGGTGGGTGCAGGGCACCACGAAAGGACATTGAAGACATTCCTTATGTGTAGTGTTTCTTGCAGGCATTTGCCATATCCTCTGTTTAACCTTAGGCTAATACTTTGCTTTAGGTGTCCCTCCTTTTACCAGCAACCCTTTTGACCCAACTGCAGTGCTCACTCAGTGTTACACTAGGGAAATTTCCCCCCATGTGCATTGTAAGGATGCTATGATTCTTGGAAAAATAAAGCAGCTTACAATATCATCTACAGAATCAGACTATTTCTGTAAAAATTAGAGAGTATATCTACTCATGGGAAAAATAGAAAGTTTTGATCATTAAAGGTTTAATACTGGTTTTCCGAGTTGTTATATTATGGGTGATTTCATTTCTTTCTTTCAACTCACTTATTTATTTTTCTTAAAGAACAAAGATTGCCTTTCTCATTAAGTAATAAAATATTAAAAATCAGAAAGTGGTTCATAAATAATAATGAAAAGGACTGGTGAGCTTATGAAAGTTGTGGAAAACACTTCAACACATTTTTAATTCTTTTTGTCAGAACTAAAATAGGTAGGTAAAACTCATAATACTTCTGGAAATCACATCTGTAGGAATCCAACTGTGTTTATGACAGACCCATTCCTCTAGGAATAGTTCAATCATCTGTCAAATGGGGATACTACTTTCCCTGCAAAACTGCCAAGTGGCTTAAATGAGGTACAAAGTATATAAGGTGTGTTGGGTTGATTTCTTCCTTCTCTCCATGCACTAGTAGAACTGAGACTTCTTCAGACACTTGGAGGAGAACTGGGGTACATCTCACTTGTACCCAGGAATAAGTCCAGTAAGATGAAAGGTGATGTATGTCTTCAGGGCACTGTGGCTCTTCTCATAAATCCTATATTCTCTCATTGCTGCTGCTAGCCTGGAATCTTTAAGATGACAAATCCAAATGGATTTCCCTGGAGTCCCCAGTTAACCAAGTCCACTGTACCCCACTCCATGACATCTACAGAAGTGTAGATAGCATCCTTTTCCTCACTTTAGAATTATAGTGACTCAATTGAATAACATGTCATAATGCCTTTAGCCTTAATGGATTTCAATTTTTTTTAATAGCTGTATAAGCATGGTCCAAGAAATAGTTAGAAAATGCAGAATTTCAGGTCCCTTCCACAAATCTACTGTATAAAAATCTTTTAAACAAATCTTCAGATGATTCCTGTGCACTGCTGTATAAGGAGAGTCTCCTTAGCCTCTCAACTCCCATCTCATGAAATATGTTCCTAGAAGGATAAATATATGCATTATATAGCAAATACATCATACCTGTATTTTGATCACAAGATAAAAGTGAGTGCACACAAGGGAGATATGAGGATAGGTAAGACACCTAAAAAATTAGCTAGCATTTGTTGCCCTCAACGCAGAGAAACTAAAGCAGATACCTTAAAAGCAACTGAGGCCAACAGGAGAAGGGGACCAGGAACTAGAGAAAAGGTTAGATCAAAAAGAATTAACCTAGAAGGTAACACACATGCACAGGAAATTAATGTGAGTCAACTCCCTGTATAGCTATCCTTAGCTCAACTAGCAAAAACCCTTGTTCCTTCCTATTATTGTTTATACTCTCTCTTCAACAAAATTAAAGATAAGGACAAAATAGTTTCTGCCGGGTTTCGAGGGGGTGAGGGGGAGAGGGAGGAGGTGGAGTGGGTGGTAAGGGAGGGGGTGGGGGCAGGGGGTAGAAATGACCCAAGCATTGTATGCACATATGAATAATAAAAAAATAAAAATTAAAAAAAAATAGACCTGTGTTTGTCAAACTGCTGTCTCATCTTCCTTCATCAGTATGGCTTAAATGCAATGAGTCAAAATCTGAAATATTTTAATGAAATAGAAATCAATCAGAGCCAGATAGGAAATATGATGTTGTATCGCAGGTAGTTAGGGTGAAGATCATTTTGTGAAATATGTGTTTTAGTTATGTATGCCTGTCCATGTATACACCTAAGTTAAGGTACACAATGTATTTCTACCTGTGGGCTGCAGTTTCAAAAAGTTGAGACACATTCTGCTTCTCAAAACACAACCTAACCTGATCTTTATTCTAACTAGCTCAGTGCCTGAAAAGTAATAAGCTCTCAGTAAATTTGTATATAGTAATAGCTAAGAGTTCTTACCCCTGATCACTCCCTAACTACATACATAATCGTGAACTCTACTGCTCTTGCAATATTTACTTGCAGTTCCAAAAGGAATACTATAGTGTTTGTGCCACAAGTTTAACTCTATCTCATTTAAATGCATTTTAAAAGTGTGCTAGTTAGCCATATGTCAGAATCACCGGAGGACTTCCTTAAAAATTTGAACTCCTGTTCCCCACCTAAGATCCACCAGGTGGAGCTTTCTAGAATCTTTATTTTTAAAAAAAGCTCCTTAGGAGATTCTGATTCACAGTAAAGGCTAATAGGCTTTGATTTATATATTTATAATGATTTTAGTCACATTAAGTATAAATCGTAAAGTAAGCAAAGGGGTATCTTGTTTCAGGGAACAAGGGAAAAGGGAATAAAGGCCTTTCTAAAATATTAAACAAAGTTGAGAAGTAAGAATCCATAAAGGCAAGATTTAATATATCTACTGCATAGAACCCAAAAGTGTCTAGAGAAAATCATGCCTATTAACAAGAGCAAAGGCAAGGTATTTCATAGTATGTTCCAGATAGCATGATAGCTGTGGCAGCTAACTATTTCCACTACTAAAGAAGACTTGGGGGGTAGGGGGGCTGAAATGGGAATGCTCACAAATGTACAGTTTATTGCAGAGAAAAGGATGAAGCATTGCAGTAGCATAAGGATATACACCATAGCCAAAGCTGCCTCAGAACAAGGAATCTGGAGTGGATAGATAAGATCTCCAGTTTTCTTCCCTCTCTATAAGAGCTCTGGGAAGATGTACTTCTTTTGGTTCAGGAACTACAGATGTATTCATGGAGTAGTTATAGCATGCCTTGGAACCAGAGAGTACAAAATGGAGTCTCAGTCCATGTCTCTGGCATACTGCTGGTTATTTAGGCATATTTCTTGCTACATAGACTTCTCCCAGTAGCAAATCCCTTGGCTGGAAGGTTCACTGGGACCATGTGTAAATGATCAGTCTCACTGCAATTAAGCTGCCAAGCCAGTACAAATCACCCCAAACTCTTCAGACCTATGATTATAAGACATACTCTTAATTATCACATTTTATGCTTTTACCCTTGGGTTAATGCCATTCAGGTGTATTTCTTGTTTCAGTAGAACAGTTCAGGCAAGTCTCAGTCCTAAGAAAAAGTTAATGCTTGCAGTGTAATATGACCTTTCCTCTTCTTCTTGCAATATGCATAAAGATAAATGAATACAGGTACCTTTTTCCACTATAGACACATTTCCCAGCAAGTACTACTAACATGGTCCTTATTCATCTGCTGGATATCTCCCCATCTTCCTATCCTGATTCAAATCTGATACTTCTCTAGTTTGCTATGTGTCCCAAGGAAGATGGCCTATATGGACCATATCAAAGGGCTCTCTTGTCCTTTGGGATCAAGCAAACTTAGAATGTGGTCAGGAAATTTTCACCCAAGTTTGTTTCCTACAGGGTCACCACATGCTGGCAAAGTCCCTCCTCTCAAGGTTCCTAAAAGGTGGCCTTTTCCACAGGTTCTATATCTCTACTAACCTCTCTTTTCCTTTGTCCCTCAGGCGTACTCCTAGTAACCCCACACTTACTAGCTATGAAGTATTGCACTATTCCTTGTGGTTCTCTGGTACTCTTCCCACATCTTTGTATATGGTCTTTTGTTAAAAACTCCTCCCCCCGCCCTGAGTGTATATCCAAAAGCATACAAATCAGCATTAAATACACATACTTGCACACCCATGTTTCTAGCAGCTCTATTCACAATAGCCAAGCTATGGAGACAGTGTGGGCGCCCATCAACAGATGAATGCTTAAAGAAAATGTCACACACATATAAGTATTATATAAAGAAATGTGAAATTATTTAATTTGCAGGAAAATGGGTGGAACTGGAAATAATATGTTGAGTGAAATATTCCAGGCTTAAAAGGACAAATATTGTATATTTTTTCTCATATGCAGAATCTAGACCTAAGAAAACATGGTATGAATGTAAAAGTGATGGTGCTTGTGAGGGAACCAAAGGGAAGAGGTAGGGAAAAGGAGAGAATTATGGGGGGTTAATATAGTCAAAGTACATCATGTGTATGCATGAAAATAGTATATTGAAAAATACAAAATCTCTAAAAGAAGGAAAGGAGAGTAAAAAAGAATAATAGACAGGACAAATTTGATCAAAGTACGTGCATATGGAAATACTACAATGAAACCCCTAATAAACATTTAACTCCCCTCAAATTTTCCAATGTGAATGTGCCCTTCTTCCATAAGGAAGAGAACATTGAAGCTAAGAACACTTAAAAAGCACTAGAAAGCTTCCGTGGCAGGTTTGAGGGAGACCCTCATCTTCGGGCAGACACAACTGAGGATCAAGCCTAGGTCCTTATAGTGCTGTAGCTCCACTGCCTATTAAATTCTCCACTTTCTGTGGTTTTTAAAATTAAGTAATGACAGTGGTAGGGAAGGAGAGGTACTCTGGTGTATGGGAAATGGACACTTATCACACATACCGCAAGTAATACATTGGTGAGAGAGTCACCAACATTCTTAATTATTTCTGCAGACCTTTGCTCTGTGGGCTAGAGCTAATGCTGCAGTGGAATTGGACTACTTAATTTTAATGTGAGTTATGGGATCCCAGAAGGGCAGAGGTTAGGTGGCAGGGCTAAATATTCTGAGACAAGGTGAGTGTAAATACCACAATAAGTCACAGGAATGGATGGAATGCTAATTAGAAGATTTTGACTCACCAAGAGCTGTATGATGACTAATATGAGAACTGTAAAAATAAGATAATTGGGCAGTCTGTTAGATGCTGCCTGACATACTCAGGCAGAAAAAATTAGGTTTCTTGTAAAGCCTAACTCAAGCTGCTGTGGTGGT